CTCAAAGTTGATCACGTGCATCGGAAATTGTTTTGCGATTACCATAGAAGTTATTTAAAAATAACAAAAAATACATTTTTAAGGTTCCTCTGTCCCTGTATATTATTACAAATATTAAAAATTATTTATAATTACATTCTTATTTTTTTATTATAACCTAATTTATTATATAAATAAAGAAATAAACCACAAATAATTATTTTTTTTTGTAAAATAATAATTATGTAAATACTAATAACCGATAATTAAATGTAATGAAGTTTTTTAATAAGCGACCATATTATTTTAATCAAAAATATAAAGGCATAATTGTGCTGAAAAAAAGTGCATCTATATACTTTGAATTCTTTTTAATGCGTCGTTGTTAAATTATTGTACTAAAATATTTGTTTTTAGAATATAGTTTTATTTTTTATAGAATATGACAAATATATATGACCAATTATTACGACCGAATTATGACCTGCTCTGAAAATTATTGGATTACTAATATTACTAATTATTTAATTAATTATTGTTTTAAATTGATTATTGAATTACTAATATCCCTACCGAAAATTTAGGTGTATATGTTTTTTAACGCCACATCATAAAAAAATTAAAATTTTGTCCAAAAAATAAAAAATTGAGGATTTTTCATCTACAAACTATCTAGAAAATAGCCTTGCAAACATTATTAAATAACTTCTAAACCTCTTTTCTTAAGTATGTTTGATCACGTAACTATCATTTTTTTTTCTGTAATAATTCTTTTTATTTTAGTTTGCTCAGGTGAAAACCTCTTGATATTTTTTCCTGTGAAAATAGGGAATGGCCTGTATTATTTATTTTTCACTTAGTCAGTATTTTTAGTGTTCTCTCTACCTACTACATACGTATTTGTTATATTTGTGAAGTGCCAATTTTAGAAAATTTCTTTTAGATAAATTATTATAATAAACTTAAAAGTAAAGCTTCATTCAGAACCCATTCGTGGTTTTAAGTATACTTTATACTTAAGAGTATACGATCAATCACCAATGCCTAAAAAATACAATTAAAATTTACAGAATGTCCTAGTAGCAGCACAGGCACTGGCTTGGTGCATTTAAGTTGATTTTAAAAATTCCTACCGTAGCGCTCAATACGGCAGAAATTTTTATCATCGAGACCTTAGGGTGCGTCCAGACCTGACGAGACGAGAGCGAGACATCTTCTATCCATTTTTTGAGGCAAGCGTACCACGAGACAAGTGAGTTTGGTCATAGTGAAAGGGACCCAGACACACTAAATTGTAATTGAATATAACAAACGATAGCCAAATAATAACGCATACAGTAGTAAATTTTTGTATCTTTAACATAGTATTGGGTTCGTCGTATTTTATTCATCGTCGGTTTTTTTTGGTTTGGTTTGGTTTCCCCTTTAATCCTTCATTTGTTTGGAGATACGATGTCCTTCACAAAATACGTTTCTTAGCGTTCTTTAGAACAAAATGTCAAAATAGAAAAGTTACAGGGAAGGTTAAGAAGCAGCAAATTTTTCACCACAAAAACTTTATTAAGTAGGCCTTGTTTTTTGTGAAATAACATGACATTGAGCCCTAAAGTACATTTTTTGAAACTTTATATTTGAAAAAAAATCATCAAAATCGGACTATAAACACAGATTTTATGGAGGGTGCCCGGTCTTGAGTGGGTCACACTGTATATCTAAAATTAATAAATTTTGTAATAATACAATTTGTTTAAAGAAATGTTAGATTTCGGTAAGGTAAAAATTATCATTGCCGCAAAATTTGTAAATTCTATAAAAAAAATGATATACATACGGTGTACCATTTAAAAAATTTGAGATTATTTAACTTTAAATAGTCGAAATTCATAAATCAGAGTTAATATCTCGCAGTCGAGCAAGCCTACCAAAAACACGTCCAGACTGTGCCGCGAGCTTGCTATGATCGGCCGTCGCAAAACGCAAAACCGACAGAGGACGGATAGCAACGAGGCTCCGTGGGTTGTCTCCCGAGACTTTCGCGAGGCCCGTCCCCGCTTGGCAAATTTGAAATGTCTCGCTCTCGTCTCGTCAAGTCTGGACGCACCTTTACAGATCTATTATGTCCCCCGTTCTTGAGTCTCAAGAAACAGAGGACAGACTTACAGTTTCGTAGCTTTGATAAAAACCAGTATCTGGTATCTGAGACGGTTTTAGCACCGTCTAATGGCACTTTAGACGGTGGTTTTACAGAGGTTAGTTCTTCATGAGTTTTAATTCGATGGTTCTCTATCTGCGATAGCAGTCGTACCAAAGTTTATTCGGTGATGAGGTGTTCTGGTGTTTCTACATTTTCCCCACAGAATCTGCATTCGCCGTTGTTTCTCATCTTCTATCTACTGAGATGTTCATTGAGGACATAGTGTCCTTTTAAAAACCTGTTGTTCCTACTTAAATCAAGGAAAATATTTGATTTTTCTCAATCTTTTGAGGAGAAAGTAGAAAATATTTTAAAAATAAGGTATTTGCACCTGGAAATATTCTTAACTTGAGACTAGCTACGATCCAATATTAATTTTATGAATAGTAAATATAAAGGGAGACTGATGACCTTTATGACCAAAACGAAATACAAATATTGTCTTGAAGCATCCAGAGTTAAAATGAAATAACATTAAAATCAAATTGGTTACTAAAATATACTGAACCTGTAAACAGAAGCAAGCTCATCCATTATATTAATTTGCAAAGTAATATTTATGTTTATATTATTATATTTTATCTTATAATTTACATAGAGTTTCATGTTACTGTTTATTTAAATAAAACATCTTATTTTCCTTTATAGTTTGTGTCACTTTGATCTTTATTAATAGAATTAATTTAAATGTTTTGATGAATTCGGAATGTGTTAATTATATAAATGTGAATTTTATTATACTATAGAGCTTTGAGCTTGAGGTTTTAATCGCTTGATATCAGTTCGGTTTGATTTATTCCAATCAATTGACGGTATGCACTATAAAATTTACTAACACGATTTGTTAATAATAAGTTAATTTGCAAATAGAATATAGACATTCTATAAAACGTGTGGTTGTACTAATTAAATTAACTAATTTAATAGCTTAATTATTTCCTAGCTATTGATACGACATTAAATCCCATCATATATAGTTATAGAGGGTGTCCCAGAAATAAGTGCAAGTATTTTAACTGGTAGTATAGTTCAACCCCAGAAATACGCCTATGAGGTTTTTTTCGCGAAATTTTTTTTTGAAAATTCGAAACTTTTTGGAAATTTTTTTAGTTTTTAGTTAAAAACATAATTTCTTGATAATATTGCAACATAGATATTAGACTAAATTTTCAAAGTAAATTAACTCGTTATTTTGGACTTATTTGAAAAACGGTAAAGAGAAAATATTAATAATTGTTTCTTTTATCGAGATCTACCACTCCTTAAAATACTTGCACTTATTTCTGGGACACCCTGTATAGTATGTTACAATCTTATTTACTACTATTAGTGATTCAGGGGCGGATACAAGGATTTATTTTAGGGGGGGCGCAAATAAAAAGTAATGTAGAATATGCTTTTTAGGGCGTTTTTATTTTTAACGCAAAAGCTTAATATTTACTTTAATTGATAGATTTTAGGGGAGGCCTTGGCCCTATGGCCTTCCCTTCTGTATCCGCCACTGTAGTGACTAACAAAACATATTCAACAAATACATTTTTTTTTAGGAAAACATGATTAATGATAAGGATACATACGGTCACAACCAACATGATACAGGCTAGAGATAACTTGTGACGTCACGGCAGTAGACGGGCTTTTGAATTGTGCCATATGGTATTGCATACAGTACGTCTGCTGGATCTGTGTCTATGAAAGGAATGCGGACAAAACATATCGCATTCGCCCACTCATTCTATTGGCTACATGCAAATTTGTCGAATTTTTATTGATGGGACGCGTCGTCTAATTTTTTACGAAAAACATCGAGAGAATATCGTTTCCCCTCTCACAGATACCCCGTAGCTACAAAACGGCCAGACGTACTGCACAGTTATTGCATAAATATTAGTATTTTTTGCCCAATATAAAGATAAAGAAAGTCATACAGAAACCTATTAAAAAATAACAATTATACCGGGTGCGTCTCAGAAGTGGCTCACGAGTGAATTGGTATGTTAGTATATGACATAAATTAGGATTGATTGACGTATTCAATTGTTTCCAGTCCCTCCCTGTTTCACCGGAAATGACAACAGCTTTTGATTTTTAAATGGGACTCTCGGTATTTTTTCACTTTATTCGATAGAAAATGACACTCTGAATAGAATGACATATAATATGTCAACATTTGACGTTTTCGCATATGGTTTAATTGAAATTGTAACCTGCGGTTCATAACGATAACATAACTCGAAATACCAAGTGTGTGGTACCAAATTATTCGTAAAAAAATGCTTTTTCCAAATATGCTAATGAGCTACACTCGTTCCATTTGAAAAAAATGAGATATGATGAAAAATACGATTTGGGCATTTTTTAACCGGCCAGGACAAGACACGAAAAAATCTTTTTTTCTTGATTAAAAATTAGTGTTTTAACACAGCCATGGTACTCTAGATTGAAATTTAAAATACGATTTTTTAAAGCGAAAATAAAGTTGATTTTGTGATATGTCATTCTATTCAGAGTGCCATTTTCTATGGAATAAATAAAAAATATACCGAGGATGCCATTTAAAAAACCAAAGTTTTAGTCATTTCCGGTGAAACAGGAAGTGACCGGAAACAATTGAATACGTCAATCAATCCTAATTTATGTGATATACTAACATACAAAATTTCGTTTTTTTTTTATCTGAAAAATTAAAATTAAAGTTATAGGGGTGAGTCACTTTTGAGACGCACCCGGTAGGTAGATAGTAATAGAAAAATTATGAGATATGAAAGTAGTTTCGAAAAATGTAATAATATACCGAGCATTCTTTTAGTATGAAGCAGCAACGCTGTAACAGGTGCCTTTATACAAAATTCAAAATTGTCAGTAATAATTCTAATAACCTAATCAACTATGGGCGTGAATCAACCCCATACGTGTCCAATCGTAAGATACATAGAAAATTAAAATTAACTTTGAGCTTTGGAGTCGGTTGATGCGCGTCGTACTAGGGGGGTGATCCGCCCCCTTGACAGATCGCTCTTGCAACTATAAAAGCGTCTTCCCGCATCCAGACGGGCTGTTGAATCCTGGTGAAGCCAAGCATCGCTCCAGAGCAGCACCAAAAGAGACCAGAGCGGGGCCTCGATCGTCCTCGGCGTTTTTCGCTCGCACAAAATATACGTTTTCGAAAAAGTCCCGAAAATGAGGTATCATTGCGGCCTCAACGTTGCGCTCGTCCTTCTTGGGTTTTGTCTTTTTTTGGAGGTGGTCGTCGGTGGCTACAGCGATACTTTACGTAAGTTTTTCATCTCTTATTGTATCATTTTTAGTCTTCTATACAGGGTCCGGCAATAGTGCGTCGGGCATCTGTAGCTCCTAGAATAAAAAACTTTAGAATTTTGTTTAAGTGCAAACCTAAAGTATGTACTAGGATGTATTTCCGGAAAATATTTTAACTTCTATAGGGTGGCTCAAAAAAGTGTTAGTGGATCTGGATGATTTTTTTAAATGGAACCCCCTGTATATTATTGTATTTTTGGCTTCCTTTCAGATCACTTTACATAATCCTAAGATACGAGTAAATCTATTTCGATAGTTTCAGAGATATTAAAAAATAAATCAAAGATATATATTTTTCAATCCTTCTTTAAAAAAAATATTAAAAATAAAAGAATTGTTCTGAAATCAAAACTATATTAGATATTTACTTTAGATGGTCTGTTCTTACTTGTTACTTTTTAAGTGATATCTGAATATACTCGTATTTATGAACAAAAATTGGCGCCGGGAGGCACGTTGTAGCATAATTAATAAAATATGTGGGAAATATTAAATATAATACATTAATTTAATATAATAGTAAAACAGGTTTCTGGATCTTAACATTAGGTTTCGGTAGTTCAATTTATAAATTTCGCTTTTTTGCAATAATGGAATTCGTGTGATCGCCATTTTATTTATACCGCTACAAGTGTTAACAGCCTTTGGTTTTCGACTTATTACCAAATATATTATATTCTTATTATTTTGGGGTATAAACCTGGTGTTAGGTAAGAAATTGATTTACAACCCTTAACTCGGTTACATATTAATTATAATTTATTTTAGAACTTTGTAGAACTTTTACTAAACCACACTTACAACCATCAGCGTGGAAAATAAAAAAGATAATGTTTCCTGCAGTAGTTGTTTTATTGACCAGTCTTCAGAACCTTACGTTACATCTAGATGTAACCGAGTTAAGGGTTGTAAATCAATTTCTTACCTAACACCAGGTTTATACCCCAAAATAATAAGAATATAATATATTTGGTAATAAGTCGAAAACCAAAGGCTGTTAACACTTGTAGCGGTATAAATAAAATGGCGATCACCCGAATTCCATTATTGCAAAAAAGCGAAATTTATAAATTGAACTACCAGGGCCATCTATATATTAGTTTATAAGAAACCTAATGTTAAGATCCAGAAACCTGTTTTACTATTATATTAAATTAATGTATTATATTTAATATTTCCCACATATTTTATTAATTATGCTACAACGTATAGCCGCTCATACTAAAATATATTAATAAAAAATTTGTAGGCAGTTTTAAGGAATTTTTCCAATTTTTTTTATCTCAAAAACTGCAACTTTGACTGATTTTGATGTTATTACAAATTTTGTTGCAAATATTATTCCTAATCTTAAATTGAAAACCGCTCATACTAAAATATATTAATAAAAAATTTGTAGGCAGTTTTAAGGAATTTTTCCAATTTTTTTTATCTCAAAAACTGCAACTTTGACTGATTTTGATGTTATTACAAATTTTGTTGCAAATATTATTCCTAATCTTAAATTGAAAACCGCTAGCTACTGTAATTTTGGAGTTACGATTTTTTAAAATTTTTAACTCCCTCCCATACCCCTTTTACTCCCTCCCATCACCCCCAACAAAAACTAATGGCCAGATTCTCGGGTGCCACAGTATTTTTGTGCCAAATTTGGTTAAAATCGGTTTAGCGGTTTTTGAGTTATCGTGTTACAGACGGACTTGTGGACGGGCAGACAGACGGACAGACACAGACAGACAGACAGACGGACAGACAGACAGACAGACGGACACCATGAAAATATTTTGTATTTAGGTCATTTATGACCCAAATAACTCATTTTGAGTGAAATTAAAAAAACTTTTTTTTGCCGATCTTAATATCCTACCATACCTATTGGTATGGTCGGCTAAAAATTTTGAATTGTGCACTACTTTACAAAAAAAATTATAATAATACAAGAAACTTGATATTATAGAGCTTTATCGAAACAATGAGTTATATCTTTTACATGTTTATAAAAATACCATTATATCCCCGTTCTTTTATCCGCGCTTAAAAAAACAATTATTTTTAAAAAAGAGTATTTTTTGGCCTTGTTTATGTTTTAGCTATGGCTTTTATGAAATCACGTTTGTATTATTTAGCAGGAAATAATTTGAAACACCACACGTGTAAAAAACGCGTCGTATTGTCTCTTTTTTATATGTATATCATATGTCATCTCATTAGGGAAGTGTTACAGATTTGTCAAACGCTGTGCTATTTTTAAAATTCACGCATTCTATTTAAAACCCTTATGTTTTTTAATTAGATAATTTTAGGATTAATTAACTACATGCTAAAATAGTTTTCATTTCACTATTGCTATTTTTTCTTCTACAGAGTCCGGCAATAGTGCGTCGGGCATCTGTAGCTCATAGAATAAAAAACTTGAGAATTTTGTTTAAGTGCAGACCTAAAGTATGTATTTCAGGAAAATATTTTAACTTCTTTAGGGTGGCTCAAAAAAGTGTGAGTGGACCTGGATAATTTTTTTAAACGGAACACCCTGTATATTATTGCATTTTTGGCTTCTTCTCAGATCACTTTACATAACCCTAAGATATGAATAAATATATTTCGATAGTTTCAGAGATATTCAAAAATAAATCAAAAATATATATTTTTCAGCCCTTAAAAAAATTATTAAAAATACAGGAACTGTTCTGAAATCAAAACTATATTAGGTATTTACTTTAGATGGCCTGTACTTACTTTGCTATAAATATGAAAATCGTAAATCATACAGGATGTTCAAAATTCTACGCCAAACTTTCTAAAATATAAAATAATTTTTCTTTTTTTAAATGGAACGCCCTGTATATTATTATTTCAGAGACGGAGAATTAAAAAATGAATATTTTTTGTATTTAGAGTATTTCAAAATTTTTAACGGTTTCGCAGATATTTGCGGTTTTATATTTCATATGGCATTTTCCACAGTAATTTTTATCAAAGCCACCCAATGATTTTTCTCTCGTATTTTACCATTGAAAGCGCCATATGAAATAATACTGCGTGTATCCCGAAAACTATTAAAAATTTTGAAATACTTTAAATACAAAAAATGTTCATTTTTTAATTCTCCATCTAATAAAAGAATAATATACAGGGTGTTCCATTTAAAAAAAATAAAGAAAAATTATTTTATATATTAGAAAGTTTGGCGTAAAATATTGAACATCCTGTATGATTTACGATTACCATATTTATAGTAAAGTAAGAATAGACCATTCTAAAGTAAATACCTAACATAGTTTTGATTTCAGAACAGTTCTTGTATTTTTAATAATTTTTTTAAAAAGAACTGAAAAATAAATATTTTTTATTTATTTATTAATATCTCTGAAACTATCGAAATATATTTATTCATATCTTAGGGTTATGTAAAGTGATCTGAAAGAAAGCCAAAAATGCAATAATATACAGGGTGTTCAATTTAAAAAAATTCAACCAGGTCCACTCACACTTTTTTGAGCCACCCTATAGAAGTTAAAATATTTTCCTGAAATACATCCTGGTACATACTTTAGGTCTGCACTTAAACAAAATTCTCAAGTTTTTATTCTAGGAGCTACAGATGACCGACGCACTATTGCCGGACCCTGTATACAGGATGTCAATATTAATTTTCCAACCAAAGCATTTTTGAGACACCGAAGTTATTAACTTTCTTATTATTTTTTTTAAATACGGACTTGCATTTTTTGTTATTAATATTTGGTGGCCTCATCATAACTACAAAAATATATTGCGATATAAAAGTCATAATCATCATCATTTTCAGCTTATTCAACCATTTCCAATTATGGTGTAGCCTCCCTCACATATTTAGATACTCTCTTTGTAGTTGGGCCCATTGTTGTCTATTGTTGGTTATGTGAGCTCAAGTTATCCCTGCTAATTCCTAATATCATTGTCCCATCTCAGGCTTGGTCTTCCTCTAGGTCTCTTAATTCCTCGGGGGTACCATGCTGTAATTTTTGTGGTCCATCTGTTGTCCGTCCTTCTTGCTAGGTGTCCTGCCCATTGCCACTTGGGAGATTTGACTCTGTGGATGACATTTATTACCTGGGTCTTTTGTCGTATCCACTGTATGCTTTTACTGTCTCTCTTGGTTATTTCCAGCATATTTTGTTACAATGAGCGTTGTACGACCTGCAGTTTCCTTATAATGTCCGTTTTAAGTGTCCGGGTTTTGCATGCATAGGTCATGACTTATGATACAAAGAATACAAGGTATGATATTGCGCAGGTTGGTCACTACGTCACAGGTGATAAACGGCACCATTGGTCGGCAAGCTCTGCGCGCCAATTTCAAATTGTCAAACAGATTGTGTCATCTGTAAAATTTGATTGTGTCAAAATGTGAAAATAATTTTTCAAATGTCCAGCTCGATGTCAAAACATAACTTTTGGGGTTATGCTCTACTTCTTCCCTAATAGGTCTTTTTTTATTAGTGGCATTTGAACAATATGGATATTTTTTGTATAATATGATGACGTCACAGGTGGTATGCGACATTTGAAAATTATTTTCACATTTGACACAATCCAAGAATTTCACGAATGACACAATCTGTTTGATGGCGCGCAAGCTACCGACCAAACCGTTATCACCTAACTGTATGACCAACCTAACAAACACTACATACCAAAAAATATAAAAAGAACTATTATTTACTTTAAGCTTTATGAAACTACCCGCATTTATGATTATATTTATCAATATAACTTATGTACAAATACAAATTTGTAATAATCCACAGGAATAAATAAAACAACATAGGTAAATAAAACAAACTATTTTATTAATAATAACACCTACCAAATTTTATACCTTAAAGGTTGATTAATTAACTTTAATCTTAATTTTTTTAAACCAGTACCTTTTGACATTATTTTTCTGCAGTACTAAAATCCATTATTTACCTA